GATGAGCCCAGAACGAAGTCTATATCTTTACTTTTCTGGAAGATATGAATTTTTAAACATTGGGGAAAAGAGGCTTCAATCGCCGGTAACACGCCAATTTTAATATAGGAAAAGATGGTCACAAGTAATAAAACCTATTGTAGATTTTTTACGCACATAATAATAATAACAAAATATTTATGATTAATACTTAATTTTTTTCTCGTTTTTTAAATTTATGATCATCTTTTGTAATTTAAAAAAATTTTTTTTACGTAAAACAAATTCTAGCGAAATCATTACGCTAAAATGTAGCGTGATAATTTAGATTCACACACAATCAAGAATGCCGCGTGGATAGAGACGCGATTGGCGTGCGATGTACTCCCAATCGCATCGCGCATTGTCACAAGGACGAAATACCTCACAACGGACAATGCTATCACTTAGCCGATCCTGATAGCGGATTTAATCATGCTGAAGCATTGGAACATTGTGAACGAAGGAATGCACGATTAATTGACATCACTAACCAGGAGGAAAATAATTTTGTTTCGGAGTGGCTGTTGCAATTGTATCCGGAAGTTAGCTCAGTTATGACTTCCGGCTTCGGCTTTACCAGCATGAGTCGCACCTTATGGCTGTGGGCAAATTCTGCTCATGCCAAATTCAAGTATGATTTTTATAAAATATCTATATAATTTGTAATAATTAAATTCATTTTCTTTTATTATTAATTTTTATTTTTTTTGCGTATGCATATATCTTTATACATATAAAAGAAATTATCTACTGATTTTCTATTCTCTTTCTATAAAGCCAATCATAATTTTTTTGAGTTAAAAATTTATTTGTGCCTTGTTAAAAATAAATAAATTTGAAAGGAATACCTTTTTATATATTTTTTAACTTTTTAAAATAGCATATATTATATCAGACTCTTCAATTTAAAATATAAATAAATCAAAGAAAGGCATTAAGAATCAACACGCAGAACTTATTGCGTAAAAATTTTCCATAAAAATTATATTCAGAATGTTGGAAAATTTACATCTTACATATTTTTCGTATGTTTCTCTCTAAAAATGACTACAGATGTATTAAGACATAATTCTCAGCTCATTTTATAATAACGTTAAATTTGTGAGTGCTTTTTTATATTCATTTTGGCTTGTTTCGTAATAATGACTTTCGCGTTCAATTTTGAAATTGAGGGACCATCTCATACATTGCGGAACATTATGACTTTTAGAAGCGAAATAATTCTGATTTTGACATAACTTTATTATTGTATTCATAGCTGAAGAAAGCCTGAAGGAGGCCGAAACGTACGAAAGATATGTAAGAAGATGTAAATTTGCCAACATTCTGAATATAATTTTTATGAAAAATTTTTATGCAACGAGTTCTGCATGTTGACTCTTTCTTGCCTTTCTTTGATTCATTTACTTTTTTAAATGTTTTGTTAGATTTACAAAGTGGTGGCCTGGGTGGATGAACGATACGTCTCAACCACCGCGAGTGAGTTCTCGTCCTCTTTGTATTGTTATGAAACGCAAATTTTCGTGTCACGAACGACCTGAATCGACTTGTGACACAGATTATTTCTTCTGGGACACTGAAGACTGCGCAACTACTTCGAAGGGGCATTCTTTTATTTGCAAAAGACCTTATGATGACATTGGTATTATTAAAGAAATATTGAATGAACATAATATAACCAACATATAACAATATATAATAATATATTAAATGTATGTATGTAATAAGATAGGCCATGAAAAATTATTTTTCAATAACGTCGGTCTATCTCCTCTCTTTGTCTCTCTTTTTATTAATCAATTGTATGTTATAAAAAATAATGTTGCTACGCTTTATCAAATTTTTTACTTAATTCGATTTTAAATATATAACAAATATGTGATATACAGTAATGCATGATTTTATGATATAGGATTATGATGGATATTTCAAATACAAAAAGATAATTGGCAAATTTATCCATGTCCACTTGTCTAGGTTGCATTTACGGGAAAGGAAATCAATACACTGGTAAAGCCAATGTAACAATATCAGGAAATGAATGTCTTTCATGGGCCGATGAGAGAATTGCGCATCAATTACGTATAAATGTAGGTTTGCTTTTATATACGCATATTAAAAAAAAATGCTTTCTATTAAATCAAATTAGAAATATAAATTTATAATTTCTATCATTAGGTTGTTAATAAAGAAATTCGAGACAAACTGGAAACGCATAACTATTGCAGAAATCCTAATCCAGTAAAGGAATCGAGACCGTGGTGCTTTGTAGGAGCTGGAAAGCGTGAATATTGTGATATTCCTGCCTGTGGAAATATTGGTATCTATTTGATGTTTATTAAAATATTTCATACAATAGATGCCGAATTAAAAGATACCAATACAATAGATACCGAACAATTTTTTCAATTGAATGGTGAAAAAAGCGACGGCATTTTGGCAAAATAAATATATATATAATATTATAATAATACATAAAATTAATTATTGTTTTCTCTAGATTCAAAACGATCTATGTTGACTGGTCAATGCAAGCCTAAACATTTTGAATGTACGCCAGGAGAGTGCATTCCATCGCCATGGGTTTGCGATGGAGAGGAGGTGAGATGTAACCATTCATGCAATATTGTCAGTATAAAGTTCTACATGTAAGACTACAGATGCCAATTGTTTATGAAAATTTTACAGACAAAAAATGTTTTATTTTACTATATATTAAATTAAAAGAAATATTTGTAATACATAAATTTGAAATCTTAAACTCAAATATAATTTATAATTCTTAATTTTTATATTTTAAAACAATGTATATATGTCGCGCGCGGGCGGATGTGTGCTGAAAAAACAAGAATTATGATTTAATATAATTGCTAAACTACATGTTTAAAATTCCTTTAATATACTTATAAAATAGACTTATAAATTCCTTAATAACTCTTGTTATTGCGTTTACTGTTCATTTCACTTAAGTAAAGATTAATGATATAATCATTATATTGTTTAACGTAATGTTATTTAGGATTGTACAAATGGGGCTGATGAAAGAAAATGTATATTGGATCTGAATCTCTTTGAAAAATCTACAAAGCATAAACTTGAGGGCTATGATGTTGAGAAATGGTTGAATACACCTTTGAAAACCTGTGCATTAAGATGCAAAGAAGCTGATTTTACTTGTCGTTCATTTAATCACAAGTTTGTTTAAAAATTATTTTTATTTATTAAACAATTATTTATTTACATATATGACTCTTGAGAGGCCGTGTTAAGAAAGAGAAAACTATTATTTATTAAATTAACAAAATCATATATATATATAATTTATATAATCGCTGCGTAAGAATAAAATAACTTATTGCCTAGCAGTACATTGATCACGGAGATAAATTATTTTCTTCGTATGATGTACAGTTATTTACCAAAATATCACATTCTGTTTTAGATCAGAGGGTAATGTGTGTTTATTGAGTAACAGTAACATCGGCTTAACTGGTGCACTCAAACCTGACAAAGAGTTTGATTATTATGAAATGAGGGAGAGAAGCATGAACTGTAATGGCATGCATATTTGCAATAATCGCAAGTGTATAAATCAAACAAAAGTTTGTGATGGCAAAAACGACTGCAATGATCGCAGTGATGAGAATATCTGCACAGCTGAAAATTTGGATTACAATATCCGCTTAGCAGGTGCAAATAATAGTTATGAGGGTCGAATAGAAGTCAGAAGTAAGTATACCCCTGGGAAAAAATTCTTTCTCTCTCTCTCTCTCTCTCTCTCTCTCTCTCTCTCTCTCTCTTCACACACACACACACACACACA